CTCAAATGTTTGGAGGCGGAAGAAAAGAATACAGTCCGGAGGATAAGTGGAGCGGAATATGTATTTGCGAGCCCACTTTTAAAAGCACAGTAACGCGAAGACCGATGATAATGACAACCAGGCCGTTGAACGATGGAGCTGTCGCGGTGCCGGCCAAAGAAGCTTGGCTGCCTTTGACGAGCAATTAATTCCTATCAGTAGTAGATTTTCACGACATATTACACAGCACGCTCAAGCAATAAACATCAACGTTTGAGCCAAGAATAAGTCCAAGTCGGATCTTGAACATCACGTGTGTCCCGTTCGGTCTTTTGTTTGAGGTTGATTATTTTGCCCTCCCTGCATTCCTCATGAAAATTCAAAAGGAAACAAACGTTTTCCACCCCCCCAGCAACGCAGGTTTTATTGCGCGTGTAAAGCCGTGCAAGGAAATACAAATAAAATCTTTTGACATACTCCACCAAAGAAAATAGATCAATAAATACACTTTATTCGTGCTGGACATGCTGTGTTAAAAAACGCAAAACTGCAATTTATTGCCAATATTTTATCGAGATCGGGTTCGGTTTTCGCTATGTTCTGTGATTTATTTTAAATGCGGGTAGTCAAACTATACTGTAAAGAACATAAATGCGGTTTTTGCTGCCATTTTTCAGGAGCCAAACTGAAAGAGTTATACCCTTTTTCTATGTATGCAAAAGGGCTATTTAGTAGAGTTTTACTTTATTTGGAAGATCTTGGGGCAGGTGTCAGACAATGACTCAGTATCTCTTAGTGCCGTAGTATTTCCCTGATGATCTGCAATGCATCTTCGTCACAAAGGTTTAGCGTTGCCTCGGTCAATCATTGCGGCCTGTGGATGTTGGTCCACTTTTCATTTGTCCACTCAAGTCGGTTAAGGCAGCAAACTGGAGCCAGGTCAAGACCCAGATGAGGACGACCTCCATACAGACGGGCATCTGTGAAAATGGTTTCTGTCAGTTTGTGCTGAAAGGATTTGCTTATGCCAACGGATTGTCGCAGCAGTTGCGCAGGGGGCTCGAAGAAAATCTTGCCGGTAAGAGTCGTACAGTACAGAGGCACTGAAATGAAAGTTCTTGGAAAAAAATTGAAAAGCAAATCTTTGGACATCGAGGCAGAAAACTGAAACACTGAAAATAATTATAATACATTAAAGACACACACACACACACACACACACACACACACACACACACACACACACACACACAAAAAAAACCCAAACAATAATACCGTATTTTCCGCACTATAAGGCGGAGAAGCTGACAGTGCGCCTTATAATCCGATGTGCTCTATATATGTGTCAATATTCATATTTCGTGGACGTAGTATTTTAAATGTTCTTTCTGGAAAGCACTTTGTTACAGCAGCAGCGGTCGTGAAGGCGCTATATAAAGAAAGCTGTATTGTAGTCCCTTTAGCGTAGCTCCATCTAGTGGATTCATGACGCAACCGCAGCCATGATTGTAGCTTCTATTCAATGTGCGTTATCATGCGGCGTGCCCTATATATGAAAACAGTTTTAAAATAGGCCGTTCATTGACGGTGCTCCTTATGCTCCGAATCGCTTTATAATGCGGAAAATACGGTAATACCAAAATTACTCTGCGAGATCAACATCTGCACTTTGCCAAATTTGTCTAATGACAGCTCTCGGCTTTCTTCCGTGCGACGCGAACGTTTTCACTTGGCTTTCTGCAAAATATACGAGATGCACGTAAGTGGATGCAGTGCTTCGTGAAATATGTGCTGTGCGCATATATGTGTTGCTTATGTTTCTTTTCTGCTCATTATTTGTAATTGGTGCTTTCCTGACTGCAGCTCCCTTTGCGCACGATGCCGTCCAACTGAGACCGACTTCTCTGAATTTCCTTCCCATCCGTTTTCTTTGCTGCATCGTGTTTTGTGATGGCAGTTTGCCAGGACTTTCCTTGTCTTCTCACTACATTTGGGCTAGTCTGAGTCAGGCATTTTTTTTTTTTTAAATATACAAATATGTTTAATTTGACAGAATCACATCCTAAACTTGAGCATCCACCCCCTACATGTTCTCCCACTAAAACTCCCTGTGACGAGCTTTCATTTGTTCCCCTCTGCGCCTGCAAAAAAGATCCCTTGGCATGGGCTTTTTTGTAATCGCCATGTAAGCCGGAGAACATGCAAAATGGCTTTTACCGTAATGCAATTTCAGGAGCTGTAATTTTTGCCAGCTGTGTGCTGTTTTGGCTTTTTTTTTTTTTTTTTGGTGGGGGGGGGTATTGATAGAAAATGTTGACCACAGGCACACCATAATATGCCTATTCCTTGGCTTTCATTTGCTTTTCGACCAAAGATTTTTTTTTTCAATTTGACTTCTTTTAGTGTATGAGAGCCATTGAAAACTGCCAGTTTGGAAAGCACTCGATGAGTTACCACACTTGTGGGCCGTGTTCGGGTGCCAGCTAACATTAGCATTAGGTTTTTCTTCTCATGTATACCAAATATCATGTCTTCATGCCTTTCCGTACATTGTGTAGACTTTGTGTAGACTTGATGTGGAATGACAATAATCGATTGCCCTTGAACAGTGTTGTGACCGTTGAAATTATATCGTGTGTTGTAACCTTGTGGCGAGTCAACATTAGATGTTGAAAAGCTTCCCAATTGTATTTTTAAATCATCCACACTTCAGTATTGTTTCTTTCGGTGTGGCTTCAATTTAAGTCCCATTTCACGATATTGTGTGGCTGTTCCATTGCCGACTTTTCAGCGACTATTGATTTATCTGTCGCTAGTTACAACACCACTCGCTGATTAGTTGCAGATGCCACTCTGTGTGTGAAACAAGTAAGGCCTGGGAATTAAAGTGATGTTTTGGGTTTTTTTTTTTTTTGTTTTTGTTTTTGTTTTTCGTTCATACTGCATGTTCAAGGGAAAATTAGTTCCCCAGAATCCGCCCAGCATCATTGAAAGAAAGTACTTTTCATCGTTCATCATCCGCATATAAATTAATGATACAAAATGGAGACACCCCAATCCAATCGACAACAAAAATGAGATTTTATAGGTCACAAAGTGACCAAATAATACAAAGTTATAAATATCTTGTCAAATGGAAGAGTCAGAGCTTAATTTTATATCACACAGTGTTACGTTTTGTTGTGTTTGTTTGTTTGTTTTTTAATGTATGAGTCATCTGATTGGGACTCGGTATCAGTAAGATCCTTAAAACCAAAGACTCGGACTTAATACAAAACACGGCCGTGCATCCATTTTTGGATGGGCTGCTCTAGATTCGACTTTGAATCCTACAACTCGTCTGCGATACGCCAACATCAAGTTTTTATTCTGTTTTGGAATAAATGAACTGGAAACGATTTGATATCCAAGATCACTTTTTGGATGCAGGATTGAGGCAGGAGGTAAAATGATCTTCCATATTTGATCCTCATTTTGGTTCGCTTCTCATAAAGTGGCATTTACCGAATGCCAAAAGTACATTTCAAGTGTGGTCATGATGGTACATGCGATACTTTCGCTTTCGACCCAGGGAATGCGCTGGTTTGGTTCTCTCAGACAGAGCTTTTGAGTCGAAGCAAACATCAAGAGCGTAAACGGACGATCATACGCTAGCCGCCTCAAGCTTCACTGAGCGACGTGGTCAGCTCAATGAATCTGATCCCGTCGTTTTGAAAACGCCGTATTTTCTCCTTGAGCGTTACACGACCGTTGACGGCGAACTGCATGATATAGAGCACACGAAAAGCAGAGGGAAGACAGCCAAACCATCAATGAGCTCCATCCTGCTCCAACCAGATTGAACAGATGCCATGTGGACGGGCTTACGCAAGAGGAACATGAGTCAGTCGGCTTATCAGTGGATTTATATGGGTCAAGAGTATGTGGTAATGACGTATATTCACTTAGGCCCATCCTGAGTGGCTTTTGCTCCTGCAGACAGGCATTACTCTCATTATTGAAACGCCGATTGACATCATTCACCCTTCGCGCGGCGTCATCGGCGCATTCGTCACGCTTTCTTCCCTCTCATTTTTTTTTTTTTTCCCACTTCCCCCTCAGCTTTTGTTCACGCTGCGCTTGGCCATCTTTTGCTCTCTTTTTGGAAACGGTCGTCCACTTGTCATTCTTTTAATGAATGAATTGAGATATCGTGCACTTTATACAAGTATGAGAAAAAATGTTTTTTTCACCACAATTTCGTTGTTCCCAAGACCAAAACTGGATTTGCTATCCAAAACCAGTTGGAATTTCTAAGAGGGTCCATTCACATAATGGATGTACCGGTACTGTACTAATATCTGCCGCAAAATATGACTAGCATGCAGTCTTGAGACACGAATTCTAAAGGCCAAACCTTCGAAAGAGGAACAGCACGGGAATGCATTTTAGGAAATTCTTCTGTATACTCGTGTTTCTTTCGACAGAAAGGTCAAATCACTCATCGGTGGAGTTCTTTTCCGTCCCTTCTCGAACTTCTTTCTTTGTGGGCCCGCCGGCCAGATTAGACTTGTGTTTACGAGTTGGCACTTGTATTCTAAACTCCAACGAAGCTGCCCTTTGCCAGTGTGTAGAAAGACTTCGAAATGTAACCTTTTCGGAGCTTTTCAACTGTTTTGATAGCTCCCACCTTTCCATCATCCCGACCAGCTCTGGAAAATAGCAATGTGGGTTTGCTCACACACCCCCCCAAAAAAAAAAAAAAAAGTTGCCTGCCATCCTTATTATATGACCAGAAAAAGTCAGCATGGTTGCAAATGATTACCATTCAGTTATATGTGTCTGTTTTTAAAAAATGGATAGAGTGTATACTTACAACCATGCCTCAAAATTATTCAGAAGCAGGCCACATTTGTTTGAATTGGTTTTTCAGTATTTCATATCGCGTTGACCTCAGCGAAGAAAATGTCTGCGAATCTTTCTCGCAGGGACTCTGCTTCATTTTTTACTAACCTTCTGTCCGATTCCATCTCCCCTCCCAGGCGAAGTGCTGAGCTTGTTGGATGATCTCTTCTCGGGTTTGGGATCACCCTGCGTTGTGCCCGGTAAGAGGAGTGGCGAACATCCCCACGTGCTGCTTTATTCCGTGGTTTTCAAGTGCCTGGAGCCTGACAGTCTCTACAAGTAAGTTGGATGAAAAACTAATTATCCCGTTTTGGTGTTTTCAATTTTTGGTGTTTGGTCATGTGTGTGTGTGTGTGGGGGTGGAAATTATTCACTCGGTTCTTTTGAAAGAGTTTGAGCAGTATGGACCAAGGTGATCCTGACCAGGTCCTGGCGATGCTTCAGTCAACTCACTTGCCATGTTGAACAAATCCAAATTCTGGGAGGTGTTTACGATGTTCTTCTACCGTTAGCCAAGAGTTTTTCGATACAGGTTTCGCTTCCAGCTGCAAAAAATGTTGGGCGACACTAAAGTAACTATTTTCAAAGAAAAACATCTTCGCCCAGGCTCGGTAAACGTGAACGAGATGGATATTTGAGAGTGAAATTGGGATCTGTTTTAATTCCAGAAAAAAAAAAAAAAAAGGGATGCAGCAGAATTCTGGTGCAATAATCCAAAAAGAGAGGAGCACGGCTGGGAGGAGGCCGCGCAGACGTTTGGCGAGGAAAACGGACAGTGAAGATCTTCGGCAACTCTTTCGCCCGGTCTCCGGTTTGCCAAGCAAACGTCTGAAGGAGATCAGAGCAAACTGGACACGCTTCAGTTTGACTCCCCTCTGTACCTCCGAGGTAGTCGTAAATAGAAGGGTGGAACTGTCTCTTATCGCTGTCTGAGCGGTATTTCATCAGATCCCTACGAACGGCGGGGTTTCTCAGACCTTATGCAGGCTAAGCCGTGAACTCCAAAAGCAACAACCTCGCTCGAGCATCCTACTGTGAACGCCACTCGATACTGAAACAAGAACGGACACCATCGTCTTTGCGGTCGTATTGAATATTCTGCAACGATGTGCTGCCGGGGGACAATGGTAGGGGCGTCTGGGAAATGATGGAGGAATCTGCTCTGCGCTCACTGAACGCCAAGATCGCAAAACATCCATCACTGAGAGTTCTTCGTGGACTCAAGTCAACGAGGGCGGCATCGTGGCAACGACGTGATTAGCCGTGGGGTGGACTGGAAACTCTACGAGGGTGTTCCTAGCCTCTCGCCAAATGTCAAACTTTGTATCGAGTTGTGGTTTTTTTTTTTTTCCCCTGGATTCATTGCAACACGCAGTTTAAGTGTATAGGACGGAGGACGGCCAGTCGAGTGTCAACAGGCGCTCGCCCTTCTCGCCTCGAGTAGACGTCGTCCACGTGTGGTTGTTGTGGCTCTCACTGGAAGCATTGATTCTTTTGTTTGGTGGCCTCGGTCTATTTTGAGAAGCTGAGATGCAAATAACTGATTTGAATCGGCTGGAACGGCGTTGTCTTAAATGATAGCGTGCGCACGGCCGTAGGGTGCCGAAACATGACATCAAAGTCATACAGTTGGGGAAGAAAATTCATGTACGAATACAAAACCCGAATTTCAAACCTCGCCGACTTTCCCGAAAGGCCCCGCCCGGCATGCTCGTGAGGATCGGCGGATTCGAAAACGGATGGATTTTGGCTGCATGACTTTCCCAAATGTCTTGTCAGTAGATGGAAATATTTGTTGGGTTAATCGAAAGAAATCTGCCTTCTACTTAGGTGAACTTCCAAAACGGGGTTAATTTCAAACTGCCCTGTTATCTTTGTTTACGCATTCTTCACAGCATTGTCACGGCCTGATAAGGGCCGAATTTTCGTCAAAATTACGTCTGAGGGCACATGTGTGCGCGGCAAAACGCACTCGTCTCAATCAAGTAGCCAGATCAAACCTCCACTGGAATTGGCATCAGACTCGATCGTTACCGAGGCTGCTGCGGCAGCAGACTTTCGTTTGCCATGGCGACAACATCAGACTCATTTTCTCACAACAGTAAAGAGTCGGTTTTGTTGAAGTCATTTGATCCGGCCATCAAAATGAATGAATTAAATGCTTGAGAAACATGCAGCACTTTTGCATCGGAAGTTCGAAACCTGAACCTCTGCAAACATTTTCAAAACTGCACGCTGAAAGTCATTAGCAAGAAGGAAAATCCTTTCCAAACCAACAACAACGGTTGCCCAGTAAATGTGCTCAATGTAGTCAATTCTGATCTCTAATCCGCCTGCGGTGACAATGAAGATGAACACAAAGCTGTCGATGCCGGCAGCCTGTGGAGCTCATTATACGACCCATCGTTTATTATTTTCACAAGTCACAAGGCTTCTTGACTCATGAATCATTCATCCTCCCAAAATGTGTCATTGATTGATGGCTTTGTATACCTCCCATTTGTTTTTTGACTGCGTGCATTGTTGGACAATGTCCTCATCTCCTGCAAACTGCCCAACATCTTCCTGATTGCTCCTCAGCTGCTTCTAATTGTCGACCAAAGTGAGTCTCCAGACCAGACAGTCCATTTGTTGGAATTCCTTTGCCACCCCATCCATCTTATTGTTGGCCTGCGTGAGCCGCCCCCGTGTCCTTTTGTTTCTCCACCCCTGGTCTGTCAACTGTATAGCAGGGATACGATACAAAAAGAGCCAAATATGTTTTTTTGGGTTTTTTTTTTTCTGTTACCTGCTTTGGATTGGTAAAAGACCCAAACGAGTTTGCATGATTTGAAGGGATCGCGTCAAATATTCTGTGCCGGTTGTTGCATAAGAGGACTCACCCTCCACCTAGCAAAAAAAAAAAAAAAAAAAAAGGCCAGAAAAGGTCAGATGTTAGTTCTTAAATGACCCATACAATGTTTCCAAGGAATGACTCATGAGCATTTGGAGGATAGCGTTCATTATCTGTTGTCCACGCTCTCTCGCTCTCTTTCTCTCTCTCTCTGTCTCCTGGGCAGTACATCAACTCTCTTGTGCCTCCATTTCCTGATGCCTCCTGTTTCCTTTTCTACCCCATCCAAAACGTAACGAGCGGATGGATGGCCATGTCAAACAGTTGTCGAAAAAAGTGAGCAGGTATCGCCCGTCCCTTGCACCGTCGGGTCGGATTCCGAGCGCAGGCCCCGGTTTTCTATGCCAAAGAAGTGAAAGCCAGTCATTGAAGAAAACCAACGCGGCGCAACTATACTCTCTGCTCAATCTAAATTTTTGCACTGTGGATTTTGAAGATGCTGTCACTGTTATTTTGGGCTGTGATGCTGCTGCTGATCTGCAAGATTTGAGGATTTCCAAGCAGTCAGATATTCTCAGCTGCCACAAATTCTTGCGGCTGTGAGAAACAATTCTACGCAGCTCGGATTGATTTGTGGGCTGGCTCGACTAATATGCGTCCAAACTGCTGATGTCATGGAAAAGGCGTCCCCTTCTTGCCCCGGCGTCCCACCCGCGTGCCAAAAATACTGCCCTAATTGATCCTCTCTCCCTTGCTGTCACTTTTGTGCCAGGCATCCTCTCCCGTCGGCCTTTCTTGTCCTGTCATCTCTTGCTCGGACATACCTCGACTGTCTCGTTAGATTACGGGGAAACTGCTCACTTTAATGGCATTTGCACGCTAATCCGACATTTGTCTGCCTTGTTGCTTGCTGAGCTTTCACCTAACTACGGCGCAAGGTCACAACCAGCCAGATGCCAGACCAGTGTGTGTGTGTGTGTGTGTGTGTGCGCTTGCGTGCAATTTTTATTATTCTACCCGTGGGGTCTAACAGGGTTGCTGGTGTGTCGTGGCATCTTAAGGTCATACCTGTGTGTCCTGGCATGTGTGTGTTAGGTAAATGACTTATACCTGTGGGATCTGACAGCTTCGCGGGGACCGAAAGTGTTGCACCAGACAAGCCGCCTCTTTAAAGTGTGTGTGTGTGTGTGTGTGTGTGTGTGTGTGTGTGTGTGTGTGTTTTCCTGACTTTGCTCTTTTTCAAGGACACATTTGGCAGTAAAGAGCAGCTAGTTTGCAGGGGAGCTTGTTAAATCGGGGACAAAGGCCAAGTTCGCTGTTAGTGAGGAAACGGCTGCCTTTTGGGGTCAAGGTTAGAGTTCGTTTGTAGTCGCCTGTGATTATGTTTACGTCTATTACGTCTATGTAACATACCCCCTGAAAAAGTGTGTGTGTGTGTGTGTGTGAGGGGGGTGGGGGTCAAGTGAGGGTGGGTGACCACCGAGGTTTGTGTGCGCCTTGCCAATTTTCATACTTGTTTGACATTCTCGTGGAAGGCCAGACCAAGTTTTGGCTTCTTTGTGCTCCCAGGCGATCTTTATCATCATCGAACACCCTGTTTATTCGACCGCCTGTGCCGCCTCTCAATGCATCTCAAGAATGAAACCGGAGCCGGCTGCCAAAAACAAGTTCCTTCTCGGTGATACGCGAATGAAGCTCAAAAATGTTTCCCCTCCATTTCCACAAAATATGTTAATGTCTTTGCACAATGAGCAGTTATCCCACTCTTGTCTCAAAGCAGCAAACAAAAACATCGACGCAGTCGAGTCCCCGGAGAGGCTTTAAAATCCTGGCAGAAACTATTTTATAACTGCACATAACAACCTTGTAATTGCCGTTGGGGTGTAGACTGAAGCCAACTTTTAAAACGCAGCTATGAAATGTTTGGCAAACATAGATGCTGGGTTGCCTTGATGAAATGTCTCCCTCGTTATAATGAAGTCGACTTGAATCGAGTCGAAGAGAATAGGCCCGTATGTTCGAGGTTTACATGAGCAGCGGTGTATGTGGCAACTGCGCGCGAATAATAATCCCTATAATTGCGGATGTGAATGGCAAGTCTTACGTGACGTACGCACGTGAGCGCAGACGGCGCTGGCGGGGGTTTGGGGGTCGGGGGAGAAACGTCCCCCTCACGTTCATCAAGACCATGATCCATTTTCTCCATTTTCCTCACGTAAGGTGACAAAAATCTCTGGTCTAAGAATAGACTCTCGTGGAACCCCCTGCACGTGAGCTTCGTACGCTCGGACTTCTGACGACCAACCGACACAAAGTCGTCCCCCATCCCTGCAAAGTAAGATTTGAACCAATTTCAAAAAATTTCCACAAAATCCCTCCCACTGTTCTCATCTCTCGGTGCAGTTTTAAGGCTGTGAAGCACTGGGAGGACGCGACTCATCCGTTA